ACGTAACTTATCAATAGAAAAAAATACTTACCTTGAATTGAAAATGGTAATTGAACTGAGTGAGTGCAATTTTGTCTGAAATCAAACGAGTTATTACAAAATTGCACAACCGCGCTAAATCCATTGAAATCTCCTGCTATAATAATACATTTAAGATTAAACTTTACTATAGTCAAAAAAAAAAATTTCCTATAATTTCTTTCTGATGCCTGTTTTTCACTTTTCTTTTCTGATATCTATACTGTTTTTTCAAATTCTATTTTTCTTCAATTTCATTGGCTAATCAAAAGAGTGCGATTTAAAACTCAAAATGTTGCGATTCGTGATTAAATCGCACTGCTGGGAGCCAATCAGATTACGGAAATCACCGGTGATTTTAAGATGGATGTAAGTAGACATGATAATGAAACCTCTAACTAACTAAGGACTAATTACTTTTTTTAAATTCCCGGCCGTGAAAAAAGTGTTAAAAGCTGTACCTAAACTTGTGCGTGATGGTAGCTGAGTTGAAATATTAAAGCGATATTCTTATATAGCTAATGGACTAGAGATTGATAATTTTTATCTTGTTTCCTTGAGATAAGCAGTGGTAATTAGAAAACTGATGTCTTGCTTAATTAGTCTGTAAAAACATTCATTTTTTTCTCTCATAACACTATACTTTAGTGCTCGAACACTAAAAGATTCAGTTATGCAAGGATTGTTGGTTGTATACGAAGTGGAAATATTCTAGAAACTGAAATGTGAAATGGGTATAGAACACCTAACGGGGTGGACCATTGGAAACCACAAGTTACTGATCTTCCCTTTTCAAGTCACGCAGCAGTTATTGGCAGAAACGAGTGGAGGTTGAGCAGAGGAAAAGAAAGAAAGGAAGGAAGGAAGGAGGGAAGGAAGGAAGAAAGAAAGAAAGAAGAAAGAGACAGGATCTTTAATGTAATGATCTATTATATCGAATATTCCGTGCGCACTTTGCATATCATTGATGTTGACAACCTGATACGGACCGTATCACGTCGTGCGTATCGTACCTGTCATTATCAGAATCAACCGATGAAAATCACCCATGAATGTTTCTGCTAGACTTTCTGGCATCTCGTCCCACAGAGTGGTTGCTCTTAAACAAAAACATCTTTTGCAAGTGTAACAGCTTCATCAACGATTTTTCGCGCAACGCATACCCAAAATGCAGTTCAATACTCTCGTAGAAGCGAGGCGATGTCAACAAACAAAATGGCGGCTTTTGAAATCGCTATAAATCGTCCCGTTTAACATGATGTTGATTTTCGAACGAACGTTGGGCAAAACGTTGACTCGTGTAACATGTATTAAAAATCGACGAGTCGTATCGCGAAAAATCGTCGTTGCGAAACGTCCCGTGTAACAGCTTAAACAAAAGCATTTTTCAGCAGAATACCAATAACTAATAAATAATAATAATCATCATCATCATCTTCACCATCATTATCATCATCATCTAAATCTAAATCTAAATCTAAAGACATACCACAAGTCAGCTCAAAGGGCGCTATTAATAACAAAGACAACAAAAAATATGTTTGAAGACATCGGACTTTTCTGGGGTTTGGACAAGTGCGCAACAGTCAACATCTTACGAGGTAAAATAGAAATAAATGAAGAAAGTGTAAAAATATCTGACAATGAAGAGCTCAAAGTGCTAGACACTAACGATTATTACAAATTTCTCGGTAAATATGAGAACTCGACGCAACTAGAGGAACAAGTCTATAATGAAGCAAGTAAGGAATACCAGAAACGCTTATCCGTAATATGGTCAAGTAACATATCCCTGCCAAGAAAAGTACACGCGACCAAGACCTTTGCCCTATCTGGTCTTCAGTACCACATGTGGACAAGCGACTGGAATATAAACCAACTGAAGGACATACAACGACGCACAAGAGAGATAGTCAGAAAAGAAGGAGGAATGCACCATCACGAATCCATTAAACTACTCTACCCAGAAGAACTAGGAGGAAGCGGCATGAAAAGCGTTGAGGACACTTTCAAATTTACAACAATCAAAATGGCAAACTATATCAACAACAGCAAAGACAAGAGGATCAAGCATGCAAGAACGCTTGAAATGAATAGAATCGCGCAAGGTAGGAGGTCAATTTTCAAACAGGCCACCAAGTACGCAGCAGAATATAACATCACGTGTGAGTTTGATGATACAGGCACTAACATACCTACAAGTAAAGACCCTACACCTGCCAACCAGACCAAAACGATAACCTCACCAAGTACGCAGCAGAATATAACATCACGTGTGACTTTGATTATACAGGCACTAAAATACCTACAAATAAAGACCCTACACCTGCCAACCAGACCAAAACAATAACTTCGCCTTCACCAAAATCAATAAAAGAGCTGCTGCGATCAAATATCACGGAGAAGTATATAAAAGAAACAAAACAGCAGACATGGCTTGGAGCCTACACCAACCAACAACTCCAAGACAAACAAATTTCACCAACAGCCGACCAGATCCTGAAGAAATGGAAAAACATTCTCGATATTGTCTACAGCCAACAAAGACATACCAACAAAGCAAAGCACAGATGACCATCACAGACACCAAATGCAGAATGTGCCATATGGCTACAGAATCAACAACACATGTACTGAGTGGCTGCTCAAAGATCGCCCAAAGCCTTTACACAGCCAGACACGACAGAATGCTGAGACCGATATACCACTGTTTGCTGGAAAAGTACAACTTCAGGAAAGCGACAATGGAAAGCCATGGCACCAACAAAATCTACCATCAGCAGTACTTCAAAATGAAAAGGCAAAAATATACTGGAATGTACCCTTTCAACTTGAGAAAGCTCCAGAAAATAGTGCCAATAAACCCGACATAGTTGTAGAAGATAAAGAARCTAATGCTTGGACACTATTTGAAGGCACAGTTTGTCAAGTTGGTAAGATTGCGGAGAGAACTGTTTAAAAACAAGAAAAATACACGGAACTACGTGCAGGCATCAAAAAAGAGTGCAAAAGCGCAAGGGTAAATCAGATTAACATAGTGTTTGACTTTCTCGCAGGACATCACGAACAGCTAAGAAAAGAACTAAGAACAATTACAAATACAGACAGGGAAGTGAACTTTCTTATAGAACGATGTCAGAAATGGATTTTAAGCAAGAACGTTAATATAGTCAAGAAGTTCTATGAATATGCATAAGCTGAAGAAAGGATTGTAAAAAATGATGAACTTAACCAGCCTAGACTTAGTCCGCTGGTCAATGTAAACATGATATATACAGACAAATAAAACTTGCCATAATAATAATAATAATAATAATAATAATAATAATAATAATAATACATATACATAATTTAGATAGAAGGATAATGAGCATGAAAAAAAGCCAGGCACCGTATTGCTTTAAAGCTGCGGAGGTAAAAATAAGTCTGATAAAGAGGCTCTCGGGAACTCTTTTGATAGGTTCCTTCAAGAGAATATGAACTAAGATAGTTCATATTCTCTTGTTCCTTTTCCTATAACGTTGGGCGTTTTCCCCCAAAAATATTCTTAGTTCGGATCCCGGACTTCTGATGCATTTCGGCGTATCCCCCTGGCCCAACCCAACACCACACCCCACCCCCCTTCCCTTCACTTTCCATGAAAAACGAACTTTGAACCGATAGGGTATTCTAAGACTAACTGTCAATGCTTTAAGGTTGATTTGGTGGAGATGTAAATACTCGTACTACTTTAACTGTTGTAACCGCTACAGCGAAAATTCCGGCCAAATCCACAGGTAGCCCAACAAGAAGGAAAAAGAGAATTTACTGCTTTTTACTCAAACTTTTTGAGGGGGCGGTAGTCCCTCTCGCTATGCCCCTGAATCGCTATCTAAGTATTCATACAACGTTACGGTACGTTGTTACTATATATATGTGCGTGCTGTTGGTAAGCAACACTTCCGGATCTAAAGTCTTGCTTTCTATCTCGTCACTTTTTACATACTATAGAAATCCATTCTAACTGTAGACTACGAACAGGCTCTACAGGCTCCAACTGAGCTTCTTTAGACCACTTTTCATAGTCCATCTTTCCCCATTTTCGTGCCCAGAGCCCCCTCATATCGAAAATCGGAGTCCACGGTCTCTCGCTCGGCCGCTGCACTCCCCACGCTTGGAGATTGTAACGGTACGATGCCGAAATGGCTTCTGGGCCCAAAAATCTTGGGATCACTCTTCCACAGTCTCTCGTCACAGGTTTCCCAGCCTAACTCCAGCCTATATGTTTATCAGGTCTTTGTAACTTACAGCGGGTTTCCTGTGGAATAACTTAATCCCTTTTCAAAGAAATCACAGAAGAGGTAGGAAATCAGTAGTGAGAAAATTGCTTTTCATATAAAATCTAAAAAAATTAAATCCCCCCCCCCCCCCCCAAAAAAGTTTTATAACTAATAAAGCTTTCCGAGTTGTTTTGGGAGTATTTAGGGTGTTTTGAGATGGTCTTGAAATAAAATACTTATGCGGTCCCGGCAAAGGTGAAAGCTATCCACATCGAGTGTGTAAATTTACTTGAAAAAATAAACCGATTTGTGGAGTTTATTTAATTGCTATCATTACTTTAAGTTGAAGTACTTTTTGAAGACCACTTATGGGTGGTTTTCATGATTTCAGCAACATGGTAACCGAAAAGTTCGATTTCAATAACAACATTTTATAACTTACCAAGGATACTTCTCTCTATAAAATGCAATCAATCTGTTTCGATCTAAAGCCACTTTATCGTAAGAGATGCATTTCTATTGTTAATTTCAATCACCGCCAGCTTTAACAAAATATTTCGTTATATAATATCTATATCGTGAAGACTATATATCGATCGTGTCAATATTTTGAATAAAATGAAAGTTTGAATAATCAACCAATGAGAAAGTAGCTAAGATTAGTAGAGCAATCAGCCAATCAGAGATTCTCTACCATTCCAGAGCCGTTCTGCGTGACGACCGACACTAARAACGGATGCGAGGGAAACTACGTGCCGGCCGGCAGGCTAAGTTTTATAGACTCGAGAATACTTAAGCATGGAAAATGTAGCGGAAAATGTAAGGTATTAGAACCTGCTGATAGATATTCTACTGATCTGTGAGAATAGCTTGTTTATACTTTAGTATATTCAGGTCAAATCATTCTCAACTTCCACTTGTAGTTTATAAATGAATGAAAAAGTCGTGTTGAAGAAGAAGCCCCTAAAATGTCACTAAAATCCAATGTGTATCTCATCAGTTTCCTCTGTGGGTTGTTATCTTTTCATACAAACGAAGGTAAGCGATGCTATATTACAATTTGCACGTTTTAAAATGACCCGTTAATTGTATCGTTGTCACAAAGAACCGTGGACTTTACCGCTCGAGCTCTTGTCGATTATAATCAAATAGTCACGACATACAATACAATACAATAACTTTATTTCTACTTGAATTACAAGATAGCAAGTACATGCTAATATCTCCAAGTTAGACATGATAGAATATTTGTTACTTAACTTAATGCTTAGTGTACACTGTTACTTAGCTATTTTTATAAGAGTATTACAAAATATTTCACTTGATAATTTGAAAATTATTTCACTTGATAATTTGAAAATTAAACGAGACTTACCTGGAAGTTGAAGTTTGATTGTAATTCTACCAAGTTACAGAATGCTGAGAGATTACATGAGATAGCAAGCACATGCGTGCCAATCAGTTTTAGAAGACTGAATGTACGTGTTACCTTGTAGGTTACTATATTATGGGTGGGCTAGGGTTATGGGCATGTAATCTCTCAGTATTCTGTAACTTGGTAGAATTACAATCAAACTTCAACTTCCAGGTAAGTCTCGTTTAATTTTCAAATTCTACCTCGTTACCATGCTGAGAGATCCCATGAGATTTCAAAGCAACACGGACATGAAGCCCAATAAAGCAAAATTTATTGTTAATAAGATGCACTGTACATTAAAACTTACTGTATATATCTGACAACAATGATTTTGCATAGGTTAGAAGCCTTAATTATTGGCTTTTTATATAGTATCGAGCAAAACAACATTCAGATGACCATCCTACAGTTTTCAAGATCTCATCTAGGTTTACAGAAGCCCTACTGGCTGCTGACGTAGAGGCTGCTCTAGTGCTGTGGGAAGAATAGGTGGATATGTTGATCCCAGCCAAAGACATTACTTTTCATACCCACCTATAGTTATAGTGTCTCTACTAATATTATTATAAGGCCCTTGCATAGCTTATAAACAGCCTAGAATTGGTACTACCTCTAAGTGCTTCAGTCCTTTTAAGGTATTCTTTCAATGTGGTCACAACACAAATAGAAGGCTTATCATAAGGTTCTAAGACAACTTGAGGGTTAGATAACCCAGGTTTGCTTTGTTTTACATGGTCTGAAATAACAAAAAGTAATTTTGTTCTGAGACTCAAACACGTTTTTAACATCTAACATATGAATAGGATATAGTCTGGCCCCTAGCCTTTGGCCAGTGATAAGTAACAACAACGTACATAACAAGCTTGTAAGTAAGCTGTTTCAAAGTTAATGTCTCAACTGGATGCAGTGTCCCCAGATACTTTAGTACTACTTGGACATCCCATATCTCTTGGTATTTTGTTCTAATAGGTTAGGTATAAGTTCTGATGCTGATAGACTAATATTCTGCGTCTCAGCTTCGATTCAGACATTGTAAAATTGTGTAGTTTTTCTCTTGTAAAGCACGTACACAACCAAACTGATCGGCGTGATCATTGCACTGATTGGCACGCATGCGCTTGCTATCTCATGGGATCTCTCAGCATGGTAACAAGGTAGAATGAGTGAATGTGCTTCGAGTGTGCATCTAGTCAATCGATGACCATGCATATTTATCAGTTCTTCTTCATAGTCTTCACTATATTTTTATAATATATTTGTATTTATTATATTTATGTTTTTTTAAGCGCTTTTATCCATATTGACTTCCTGAATAGAGAGAAATATATCTATTTGACTATATCTTCGAATTACTGCAGCCAAACAAACATAGTACTGAAAATGTATAGGGATTTTGTGTATAATTGTTGATTTTCAGCGTAAATATTGAATAATATAAACTTCAATTGTTGTAACTTAATGAGTGTCTTGTAGTAGTTCTATGTTCAGTAGTATAGTTATGTGTTCAGTCAACTGAGGACTGACTAGCTTTGTTCTGGTGTTTTTTCACATTTTAAAATTCTCATAACTTTGAAAAACTAAAGTATTTGATATTTCTACCTTAAAATTTGCAACTCTAGAGATCTGTTTAAATTATTCTAAGCTAGAATTTTAACGTAAAGTTTAATGAATGTATAACATCTAAAGAATTAAGAATGTTTGCCAATGAGATATGCTACTGGTTGTCCCTCCTTATAAGTATTCAGAGCTACAGAGATGGTAAATACCTTGTAAATACCCAACAAAATGGAAAACTGGCAAAGTGAAAACAGTATTTAAGGGAGGAGATAAACAAGACTGTGGAAATTACAGACCACTGTCCATGTTGAGTTTACCCAGTAAGATAACAGAATCTGTAATTTGTGAATCAGTTGATCCTCATTTACAACTAATACTACATAAAAAACCAGTGGGGATATAAGAAGGGTTTGTCTTCAGACTCATTGCTACTGTATATTTCTGAAACCTGGAAAAAGCTTATTGATACTGACAAAGTCATTGGTGCCATTTTTATTGACTTCAGAAAAGTATTTGATTCTGAATTGACCATAACATTCTGTCTTACAAGATGCAAAGCTGTGGTATCAGTGGAGATCTCCTTATCTGGATAAGTAATTACATAAACGGAAGAAGTCAATTTACTGAAATAGATGGTGTGCAGTCTGATATGTGTGCTGTATTACCTATGGAGTTCCACAAGGGTCACTTTTGGGACCTCAGCTATTCTCCATATATTATGTAAATGACTTTTGTGACGCTGTCATAAAAGGAGAGATGCATCTGTATGCAGACGACACAACTATCTTTGTTGTTGGAGATAGTGTCGATGATATAGTCAGTCATCTCAATGCTGTCTCTGAGGAAGTGTATCAGTGGACTGCTATGAACAAACTTTCTGTCCATTCTGGAAAATCTGATGCAATGATAATAAAAAGGAACAGATTTACTGGACCCCTATTACCCGTCATATTTGGAACTACAATAATTGGATATAAGAACAAAACAAAATGTCTAGGTGTAACTATAGATGACAGATTAACATGGAGAGATCATATTGATAATGTCTGTACATCATATAACAAGCAAATTTGTGCCTTAAGAAATACAAGATATTTGCCATCCCAGTTATTAGAGGATATATATTTTAAAACAGTAATACCATGTGTTACATATGGGATTGGGGTTTGGGAAAATTGTTCCCTTGCAATGTTCAAAAGATTAGAAGATCTTCATATTAAGTCTGCGAGAATCATCCATAAGATATCTACTAAGGTAATGGATTGGGAAATCCTGAAATTATCTAAGTGGCAGAATCTAGGATATCTATATAAACGTAAAATAGCAACAGAGGTCTTTAGGATCAAAGAGTCTGATCATAGATTGTCACAAAATTTCAACTACAACTGAAAGAAAGGGTGTTTTATTACAAATTAGATTTAAGAACTATGAACTGGGCAGAAATAGTCTTGACTTTCGAGGCCCAATCATATGGAATAGCCTGGACAGGAGTACTAGAAACATTAAAGATCTGAATACTTTTAAAAAGGTTTTAAAGAATAATAAGAAAATAATTGGCCAGGTAACTTTTTCTAAGGGAACTTGTTTTAATCACAATGAAGATAATAGTTATATATATTATTGATTATAAAATCAATCATAATTTTCGAAATATATTCTCACTAACTTAATTCTATGTATTTATTTACTCATTTATTTATTCTTTATTATTAATATATATATATATATCTTTTTCATAGGATATTGTCATATTTGTAGAATATCAYTTTKAAATTGAATATTTTATAATTCTATTATAGATTAATTATTAGATTTTTTTATTTATCTTAAATAGTTAGTTAAATAGTTAGTTAGATATGCAAGTCCACATCAGCTATATAGCTGCCAGTTTTTAGACCTGCTGAAACAAATAAAGTTGTATATATGTATGTGTGTGTGTGTGTAGGTGTGTAGGTGTGTGGGTGTATGGGTGGGTGTGTGTGTGTGTGTATGAAAATATGAATTTTAAAATTTATGATAATGAGATAGCGGCCATTATTGCATTTATATCATAATAGTAACGAAATTACCGAAAAAATTTTAAAAAATTGCTGTTTACATTAATATGCACAAATCTTTGGTAATAACGTCATTAAACTTTTTATTAACTGCAAATATTGCTGTCTGGAGTTGGTCGATAAGCCGAAATTCGGAATCCGGAATAAATATACTAAAACACAGAATTACCAAAAACTAAAATTTTACAACATTATCCGATGAAAAATGGGAATGGCTGACACTTTTTGACATTTATTTATTCCTAGCCACTACAGTTCCAGCTATTCCGGGATCCTGCCTTCAATTGTGAATCTTTGACCATCCCTTGTAATATTAGCGATATTAACAAAGCAAATGCTGTTCGTTTGTACATCGATAAGAAAATGATACAAGAACATGATATGAAGAAAAACAAAACTGAATGTGCTACTGAAGGTATTGATGATATCCACAAGAAAAATTGTGCTTCAAGAATGAATGGTTCATTTCTGGATGGTAATAATATGCTTTTCAAGATGGACCCTCCTTGGCCGGAGTTGAACCAAAGTATAGCTGGCTGCGAAGTAAGGTACCCCGATGGACGTGAAAATGACCATCATCGAAAAAGGATAGATTACCATTATTGTCAAGGTTTGTGTTCCATGGGAACTCGCTTATGAATGATTAATGATTAATGATATTAATGATTAATGAATAAATAAAACAGATGGATATTAATAGATTAGTGAACAGAGGAGTGTATGAATGAATAGATGGATGCGAAACAGATAAATGAACGAACGAAAGAACGGATGAATGAATGGATGAGTGAATAGATGGATGGACGTACCAATGGGTGATAGAATTAATGGTTGAATGAATGCCGAATAGATAGATGTTACGTACGAATGACTGATTGAATCTAGTGGTGGAATGAATGCTAGCTAGTACAAGTTAGTGCTAGTTATGTAGTAGAGTTTCATGGATAGAGTGTTTGCACTCTAAACCATCCAAAACTTTGATTTTCATCCAATAATTCAACAAATTTAAACCCAGGTTAGTGCTAATATGCTGTTTGAATATTTGTAAAAGTAGTAAGATGTCAATAACAACAGCAACAATAGCAGCAACAACAAAGTCTGGCTGCCCATGTACTAATCTCGATTGTAATAATCTAAATGCAGAAATATTATTTTTAAAGTATCTCTTACATGAAGTAGGGTAATGATGTTCGAATTCTTCGTAAAGTATGAATCAGTTAAATCATCCTGTATCTTTTAGCTACCAACAATGGTACTGGAAAGCCTACTGGAAAGCCTACTGTAACAAAGAATACAGAACGTCCAGAATGTTCAACTGAAAAACCTCCCAATTCAGGTATATATCACTTATTACTCTAAAACTTCCAATGTTCGATGTTCGTCGAAAGTCACGTGACAGTTATGTGTATGCTCTCTCTCTCTCTCTCTCTCTCTCTCTCTCTCTCTCTCTCTCTCTCGATATATATATATATAATATGTCTAGTATAGTAGGAATAAATTATGCGTTCGGCGTGAGTAATGAAATATCGCTCTGGGATCCTCACGAGTACCCTACATTTCATATTCCGGCTGCGTTACCAGCGTGGTTGTTGCCTTGTGGTGTAGTGGTTAACACATCGGACTAGAATACCGAAGACGTGGGTTCGATTCCCGCCAAGGGCATTTGATATTTTTCTCTTATTCTCTCTATATATGTCTATAATGTTGACCGAAACGATATATATATATAAATTAAAATATTCAGATTTAACTGTCAAGTAATTATTGCATTAAAAAGTCTGGGATAAAATGTTTTATCCAGTGAAGAGGAAACAGAAAGAGTTTTTGAAGTGTTAATAAGCTGTTAAGGGCCAAAAAACTTGTTGGTCACTTGGTAGTTAAATCTGAATATTGTATATTTTGTTTCGGTCAACTTTCTTGTGATTTACTGTATATATATGTGGCAGAAGTTTTTTTTGCCAATCTTTTTGTTATTTGCGGTGCTAGACTTTGGTGCACAAGTTCCTTAGTCGTATTAATTGAATGTGATATTTTTTGCTTCCTTCGTCTTATAGATTCAAACGGGGATGACAATTGTCGTACCGTCGTGATAATTTTATCAGTTTTACTTGTTTTCTTCTTCTTTACTTCCGCGGTCTTGCTGGGTTTGCTTATCTATCGTCGCAAATCGAAAAAGAGGCATAATAAACTGCCTTGCAATAATGACGAAGAAAATGAAAATAAGCCACGAGATGAAATATCAATGGATGTAGTGACTAACGGCCAATGTTAACCGTGCATCAGGTGATATGCGAAATGTGGAGTAAGGAGTAGACGTTTAATCAATGGACTACTTCGACGATACAGTGGCCATCTTGYCAGGTGGCAAAACAAAACAAAGATGACAAAAGATATCTAGAGTTTCGTGTGGTTGTCTTTCTTTTATGGGTCAAGGTGATCTATGTGTCGTCTTAATTCATCTTTTGTTATATTCTCTTGTGGTGAACTGTTAATTTCAGTGGACGTCATTACTGTAACAAAGCTTTATTTGCCTCTTGGAAGCCCCATGATGTCTTGCAATCGTCGAAGTAGTCCATTCATTACGTCAGCAATCTCGTACCCAGAGCCTGCGTTTCTTCTGGCCTGCGGCGAAGTACAAGGGCTCTGGCATATATCCATTTTTTGAAACCGGGATTTCTTGGACTTCCGATATAAGAGCGCTTGCGTTCAAAGACTTTATTTTGATCGGAAGAAAACGCAGAACTCTGTTTTAAAGCTTGATTTTCATTGATTACATTTCATTTCCGAAAAGCTGCGCATGCGCCAAAAAGTGGATTATGCCAGAGCCCTCGTTCTTCGCCGCAGGACAGAAGAAACGCAGGCTCTGGGTACGAGATGGTTACGTCAGTCGAACGAACATTATCTAGACTGAACCGCGCATGCGTCAGCAATAACATTTTTTAAAAAATATTTATAATGCGTATATTTCATGTAATAATAATAAACCACTTTCAAAATTATCTTGGATGCGAGATTAAAAGATGAGTTTGTATCTTTTCTTTTGTATTTTTCTGTTAGCCTCGCACCCAAGATAACTTTAAAAGGGTCTTTTTATCCCAGCCTGCGCATGCGTCCGCTACGTCTCGTGTTCCTAAGCTTGCTTCTCTCGTACTCTACAGCTCCAAGCGTGATTATATTCACAGCACAGAGACATGTGCGCGCGTTTTATATTTCTTCTATGCATATACTTATTTCAAAAAAGTTGGTCAACTGAAAAGCTACACAGCTGAGACCGGCAAGGATTATGGGTAGATACATTTTACATGTTTCAACACAGTTTACCGCGTTACATCTTCATCTCCTTCGAGTATCATCAAGCTCCAGTTTGTATCAAAAGCTTTACTTGTTTAATATGAAATTGTGCTTCCCCTGATTCTAAGCGATCATTGCTTTGTAGGTTTTTGGTGACTACCTTTATTGAAATAAGTATATACCTAATACACTCAATCGAAATATGGTGACCAATTTGAATAACTATTGTTCTGCACTGACTAGCGACTAACTAGCCTCTCATACATGTGAAAATGCTTTTATGTTTCCACTTGAACACAAGGTTAGTCAGTCCACAACAATTATTCAAATTGGTAACCATATTTCGTTAATTTCGGCTTATGAGATGCAAAAATGTAAAAATATAAATAAATCTGTACCTATTATTAATGCATATCTCACAAAATAATATTTTTCGAGGCGTTTTATCCATAAAGAACTCGAAAATATGATTTGAGCGCAATGTAAAAAACGTCCTAAATTATGATTTTATGTAGATGGAAAGTTAGCTAAAACCTTCTTTTGCATCAAAGTCTTAGTACTTTGATGCAAGACACAATGTTTTGAAGTAAGAAAAAATATATTCAGTATGTATGTTTTCACTTTTTAGG